AATGACGGAGCTGATGTCCCCCAGCCTAACGGGTACCAAGACTGATTGCTTATTCGGAGAAGTAGGCCATGTATTTTGTGTATTAATTAAAGTGTTGTGGTTCACCAGCCGTCCTGGCTCTAGCAAAATGACTTGTACGGGTGGAGATAGCTTTATCCTTGGTTGCTTTTCAAGGATTTGTCATGTAAATTGTAAATTGTTTGTGTTATATAGTGTTCGGGTTGGTTCTCGCCAGGCCCTCCCAAAATAAACTTATCTGGTTCAGCGATGCTGTGTTGTTATTTTGTTGTGGAGTGGAGACAAAATGTCAAGGATTAAGAAGAAGTCGATTTGTGGCTAGTCTACCTGCGAGCAGGCTCACGTTGGAGCACAAGCCGCGAGACGAGAAAGTGCTTTCTTGGCGCCTCTTCACCAGACTCCTTCCCGCCGGGTCGCTTTGCTCTTCGCCGCTCGCGCGTGTGACGCAAAGGGTCTGCGGTCTGTGGTCTGCGTTTTCGAGGTCTGTGTTTTCGAGACACCCCTGAGCTATTATGATGTTTAAATTAAAGCAACAGGATCTGGATCTTTTGGCTCTAGGAACAATTGTAAGGTAATAAACAATCGCAGGCCTTAAATCTGGATTAAGACTTTATATAGTGTTTTTGATGATCAGAAGTGGTGTAATGATTTATAACATTATCACTCAACTCGATCTTGGCAAATATATAAGCAACCAGTTTTCGATCTGTCTTTCTTCTTGTCCATTTCAGCTTTTAATTATTGTGATACAATTATCATTTTCCATAGCTTAAACCAAAAATAATTGAAAGCTTGTCACAGAACTTGATCTGAAATCATGTTTCTGTTATGAGCAATTGCTTTTAATTTACACGTAACCTTAAGTGGTGAAACCAAACATGTTGCTTTGTGTTTTTGTTCTAGCCGCAATAAAGCACAAAAGCTTGAAGTATGCATTCACAAACAGAACTACATCCACAGTACATGGCTTAAAAGCTACGTGAGAATCGATGCGCAATACTGTCAGTATAATTCCATCATAAGCTGTGGGATCCGAAAGAAAATATGCAGCAGTCTTCAGGGCAAAACTTCCAACTTTGAATTTGAAGCTAAATCTTCAGAAGATGTTAAAAAGGTTGAATATGTATGCCATATTAGAGAAACCTTCAAATTTAGTACACTAACCTAGAACAAACGCCACTTAACAGATGTCAACAACTACCGGCGCCTTACAAACGACTTATCCATGACGGAAACGAAACCGACAAACGGACTTCCAACAGACCGACTTAATTTGACTAACAATAGACGGACCAAAAACCGACCAATTTGACTAACAATAGACTGATCGAAACCCACCAATGACTGATGACAAACTTTACACGAGTCTTTCAGCCAATACCATCATGGCTAAACTGACCAATCATGTTCAACGGACCAGACTTATAACATCATCGACTGACAAAAACTATCCACTTGACTCTGAAGATGACTTCCGCTCAGGTTGTCGAAACGTCAGTCACCAACAACAGTTCTTTTCAGAACTACCATCACCCGGACGATCACACTATACGAACTACTGATACTCCTGGGTTCAAACCATTTACTAAGTGTAGTGATGGTTAACGTTGGCAATTAAGTCATTGCATTTTGTTCCAGTAATTATAATGTATAATTGTTGTTTATGTCTCGTTATATTTTCATATTTTTTACAGTTCTGGGCTTTTGACCTGGCTTTTTATGTATTACATTTGCAATTTTGTAAAATGCACTGTTCATGCAGTGACTGGCTATAATAATATTATGTGGCTCTCATATGCTCTATGCAACAGAGAAGTGTGATTGAAGTATGATGAGACGTGTGATTCAACCAAAGTCACACTTTTATAAGTGTGATTCACACATCTTTCACACTTCTTCCACACATTTTTCACACTGTATAACACACATTGCAGAAGTGTGATTTGAAGTGTGAAAAAGTGTTATTTTAGAGTGATTCACACTTCTTGTAAAAAATCATGTGTGATTACACTTGGTAATCACACGTGATCACACATTTATTTTTGCATGGGAAAGTTTTATCAGTAACTTAGCCTTATCAAAATATTCCTTTTTTATTTTTCTTTGTTCGCAGATATTAGGAAAACCATGCTACTCTAAAATCTGAATGGAAATAAAGGTTACGTAACTATGTTACATAATGAATATGCAAGCCACAGCAGAATTAACTTTAAGACCAGTGGCATTTAGGTTACACCAAGTTTACTCACCACTTATAAAGGTTGAAGTGGGTTTATCTTCAGCTTGTGACAATATGCCACTCACTTTTTCTTCCAAGAATTCGGTTTGGCTCTGAAGTCTCACAAAGCCCCTTTCTAAGCTGACCTGTTTGTCTTCTAGTCTTTTAATGTCAAGCCCAAACAAGCTGGTCAAATTTTGAAGGTGCTCTCTTAGTCCCTCGTGGTCTTGCACCCAGGACTCTTTGTTCTCCTCAACAGACTTACTTAATGCAGTCATTTCTTCCTGGACGAGCTTGAGGATATCATTATTTATCGGTTGCCCAAAGCACATGTCGATACCTGATACATGAATAATGAATGCAAGAATTACTGGTTCAACTTTGTACCTATGCAACATTACAAGTAATTTTGTTCTCTAATGCCAATGGACCATTTTACAGTTTGTTCCAGGCCTTGGAGTAGAAGCAAGGCTGGAGTTGACCTTGTTGTGAAAGATACCTCTGTGCTTTTCAGATGTGAATAGAAACAAGTTAGCATCAGAAAAACACGTTTTACCGTACATATGAAAAGCATTGCGGTTTCTACCAAAACAAGGTCAACTCCATCCTCGTTCCTACTCCAACACTAGGTCACCAAGCACGCAGCTGTAAAATTGTCTACTAAGCTACAAAACTCCCTATAGACAGCTGTGTCACTATACTATGATCATACTAGGATCTGTAGCAACATGCATCATTTGCCCAGACTGCTAGAATCAGCAATAATTATTATCTCAACATGTCAAGAAGGCAATAGAAACACAGTAATTGCAAATGTAAAGCTTTCTTGGTGGAATGTCATATGGTCACTGCAAGAAAAGTCCTAAAAATGTCTGGAGTCCATCAGGCTGTACCATAGAAAGTGAAAGACTAATAATGAACACCAAAAATAAGTATTGGAAGCTCTAGCTCTCATACTACAGGACTTATATCATTTAGCATCATAAGAAATGTCACTGTAGAACCTAAAAAGTGAGGGTCACGATCAAATGGGCTACCCTGGTTAAATAAAGTTACTCCCTCCCTCCCTCACTTAATGTCTAGGGACTGGTATATGGAGGAACACCAGATAAAATGTGTGCAAAATAGCTGCAGTGCTAAATGACTGTGGGAACATGGGCAAGTTAAGGACATTTCTCTACAGACTGGAAATTTCAGAGCATGCGTGACTCCAAATCAACTAATGAAAAATGGTGAAAAGATGGAGTAGATGAATTTTTCACTTGTTTGTCTTCACGATGAAGTCACTTTGAGATGTAGATCACGACGTCAGGCGATGAGGTCAATTGTTGTGTGTCGCTATTTGTAGCACCTTGGTTCGCTGCTATTGGTGCATTTCGATCCTCATTATTATTCCGACTTTGTGACGCTGTTCCCTCATAGGTCTGCATTCTAACTGACCGCCTGTTGTGCTTTCTGATTGTAGGTATCCATGCTTCAGGAATTTTGATTCCACTATCTCTATTGATGTTATTTGGATGAAGTCTTATACGGATAGCTTCCTTGACCCTTTGTGTGTACCAGTGAGGGTCACGATCAATAAACTCAACTTTGTCCCAAATGGGACACGCAACAATTGACCTCATCACCTGATGAAGACTAGCAGTATAGCAGTCAAAATGTCACGATCTACATCTCAAAGTGACTCCATTGCATTAGACAAATGAGTAAAAAATTCATCTATCCTTAATCTTACATGTGGGCCCCATGATGAATAATGTACAGATCTTTAATGGTGAAAAGATGTTTCACTGCTCAATTTCCCACAATGGTGTTTGAAACTTAAATGCAAGGGGACAGAAATCGATGTCTTCTCACCTGTTTTTCTCCATGTTTCAAGTTCTTCCAAAATGTTTGCCTGATCTAAAGTTGCTGGGAGATTCAGTCTTTTAATCAGGTTTTTCATTAATTGAAAACAGTCCAAATAGTAAGCTTCTGTCCATGTAGAAGATTTGCAATGGCCCCATTCATTACGAACCTTAGAGCGCACTTCTGATGCGATAATGTCAACAGCTTGGAAGACAAAGTTTGGTGCCCCACACAAAATGGAAAGAGCTGCTGACAAGTCCAGAGATTCATCGAAACCAGTGAAGCTAGACATGATCGGTTTGACAAAGAGTTTAGCAAGAGAGACATCATCTTTCACACTGTAATCATAACTTTTGGATGATGCTTGATGTTTATTATTGTTAATGCTGCCATAATTTAGAGCCAGTGTTGAAGGATAAAGACAATTTAAATGACAAGCAAATGTTTGTGAATGGATGTTGATTGGTGGCAGAATTAGGTTCTGGTAAAGCTGCTGCATTTCATGTTCCAAAACTGCCCTCATCACCGGCGTGAGAACTTTTGAAAGGCAAATGCCAACCACCATCCATCTGTTGTCCTCAGCAGCAAGCATTTTAAGACATAGTACTTCTCACTGCTTGTGGAAGGCTTATGAGAGTACTTTGTTAGTAGCATATATTGGGTCTGAGTTTCTGGTAAACAAAGAGAAACAAATAGATCAGAGATTTAATTTGGAGGTTAGAAAATCACTTAGAAACTTACACCATGCAAGCTTCAAAACAACTGTATTGTGATTCCTGGTTTAAAATGTACTGCCAACAAATAAATATCCAGATATAGCTCCAAATTGGGCACTATACGCCTAGCCTAGCATGGCCTATGCACAACAAAATGCAGAGCAATAATTGGTTTCTCACTGGTAGAAAATTATAGTAGCAGTAGCTATGCTTTGCTCAAGGGTCTCATTATCTCTATTGATAGCCAAACTATTATGGGATTGCAGAATATTTCAAACACTTCCAGGCTTAGCTAGGTTTAAGATAAAGATCAAAATTAAATTTGAAATGGAAAAATATATCTGCACAAAGAACAAAACTTTAGATCAATTTATTGAAAAATGGGGGACAGTTTGTTCTTTGTAAACAATTACATACTGTATTCTAACTATTTATTGTATCGCTTTCTTTGTAACTCTCTATTGCCTTCGCAATTGTATTTTAACATATAAGTATATTGAACAGTACATATGTTGAAGCTAGTAAGTATATGTATGTATAAGTATATGCTTGTAAGTTATGTAACAATAATTTGTAAGTAATGAAGTATACAGTTAATAATTAATAATTAGTTATTAGTAAGTTATTAGTATTAATAATTAGTAAGTTGAATGTGGTAGTAAGTAATGTTTAGTATTTGTAGTAGCTGTAGTATTGTAAGTAGTACCATGATCAGTACTGCTCTAATAAAAAAAAAGTACGCTGTCAGTGATTCAATAGAATTAAATTCAAATAATAATTATATAAATGATCGATGATCAAGTGTTCTCCCCAGGGCTTTTAAGCCAGCATGCCCTGAAAAGACTACAGAAAGCCACCAGGTTTGAAAAGACCCCCATCATGCTTGAAACTTTGTGGTTTTTTTCTAGTCATTGCGTATAGAATTATATCATATTCTAGTGACTGAATTTTCAATGTTTTGTCATTTCATTTGTGCACATAATGGCTTCCTAAAAGTACTCAATCATGAACGCACATATCAAATATTTATAAGGTATTTTTTAGAGCGGTTTTCTTTGCTTTGCAAACTGATATTGCATGCATGCATTAATATTTACAGATACACATGTACGTAAATTCACTGGTTTACAGCACTTATAATATTATACTAGCATGACAACCTTGGCAAGGTTACTTATGGCTAACAAATTGCACCCTGTTTTGCCTTATGCTCGCCATGTGTGAAGATAATGGAACTCGTGCCTCCAAAAAATGTGTCCCAGGTTTGATTCCTGGACCCAGCATAATAATAATATTTGACTTGCAATATTTGTTAGTTCTCTGGGTTATTGCATTTTGCCCTCTTGTCAAAAACTGCAACTCAATCTTATGAGTGTCTCCAGTAAAGATCATTACAAGTGCTCCACTTGGAAAAATATTGACATTTAATTGGCAGAGCACTGGTCTGCTCTAAGCAGGATGTTGTGGGTTTGAAACTGGCTAGATTGATCACTCATAACCAGGGTTTCTTAAAGTAAGTGATAAGATCATTCTGCCTGTGATTTGCAACACCATGTCTCAGTTCTGATTATCACGTCATTGGTGGTGATGGTAAGCTGTTGGCCTCATTTCCTCGTGTGCAATTCAAGGAGAGGTTAAAGAATCCACATTGCTGTTTACTAAGAGCAAGAGATGTAGTCCCCAGAGTTGTGGTCGAGTGTATGTACTAATACATCTTCTAAATCTATTCACAGATCTCAGGCAGGCTGGTCAACATTGCTTATACAGGCCTGTTAATCCATGGTCTAATACCACAAAGTCCAGTGAAATCACTTCAGCTATGCATGTTAAATACTGTTGGGCTGCTGTTTTCTTTGGGAGAATCCAAATCCAGATTCACAGCTTGGCTCAGACAGACAGAATCTCATAAACCAACAAAGCTCTGAATATATTCACAACCAATACACCACCAGCACCAGCACAATTATAAGCCAAACAATACTTGTTAGAATGTATCTTTAACAAAACTGCCCAAAATTTTAAATCCCACATATCTGGAGTCCATTGAATCCAGCTTGGGTATGCATTCAAAGGATTCAGAATCATTTTATAATTAATAATATAATTCAGGTAAAGAAACAAAATCCGAAATTTGGATTCGGATCCTCTC